AAATAAAAACAGTTAGATCAGTACATTGCAAGAAATTGCCAAAAATTCAAGCTGGCTTCAGAAGAGGGCATGGAAAAAGAGGTATCATTGCTGATGTCAGATGGATCTTGGCTGAAAGCAGAAAATACCAGAAAGGTGTTTACATGTATTTTATTGACTATGCAAAGGCATTCAACTTTGTGAATCATAACAAATTAGAGATAACATTGCGAAGAATGGGAATTTCAGAAAACTTAATTGTGCTCATGAGGAACCTGTATGTAGACGAGGAGGCAGTTGTTCAAATAGAAGAAGGGGATGTTGTATGGTTTAAAATCAAGGAAGGTATGTATCGGGGTTGTATCCTTTCACCATGCTTATTCAGTATGTATGCTGAGCAGATTATCCCAGAAGCCAGACTACATGTAGAAGAACATGGCATCAGGATTGGAGGAAGACTCACTAACCTGCGTTATGCAGATGACACAACTTCACTTGCTGAAAATAAAGAAGACTTGAAGCACTTACTTATGAAGATCAAAGAGTACAGCCTTCAGTATGGATTACACCTCAACATACAGAAACAGAAATCCTCAAAATGGACCAGTAAGCAACATCATGATAAATGGAGAAAAGATTGAAGTTGTCAAGTATTTCATTTTACTTGGATCCACAATCAGCACCTAGGGGAGCAGCAGTCAAGAAATCAAACAACATGTTGCACTAGGCATATCTCTGCAAAAGTCCTCTTAAAGTGTTAAAGAGAAAATCAGTTTGATTGCTCTACAGCAACAAAAAGAGCTCTGAAAAGGAAATAAAGAATACAATACCATTTACAATAGCTACCAAAAAGATTAAATACTTAAGAATAAATCTTATCAGGGATACCAAAGGCTTATACAAAGAAATCTACAAAACACTACTGCAAGAAACTATAAATAAAGACCTACATGAATGCATAACATACCATGCTCATGATAGGAAGACATTGTGAAAATGTCACTACAACCCAAAGCAATGTATAGATTCGGTGTAATTCCAATCCAGATTCTATCAGCATTCTTTAAGGACTTGGAAAAACCAGTCACTGATGTTTATATGGAAAGAAAAGGGACCTTGGGATAAGCAAGGCACTACTGAAGAGGAAGAAAAAGTCAGAGGTCTCATACTTCTCAATCTCAAAACCTACTGTTACAGCTACAGTAGTCAAAACAGCCTGATACTGGTACAACAGGCACATGGACCAGTGGAACAGAATCGAGAATCAAGAAATAGATCCATACACCTATGGGCAGCTGATCTTTGACAGAAGGCTGAAACTCATTAAATGGGATAGATGTAGTTTAACAAATGGTGCTGGCAAAACTGGTTATCCATTTGCAGTGAAATGAAGTAAGATCCATCTCTCATACCATACACAAAAACTAACTCAAGATAGAGCAAAGACCTAAATGTAAAACCTAAAACAATAAAATTCATAAAAAAAAATAAATAATAGGGGCTCTAATTTATGGTATAGGAGCTCTGGTAGCATAGTGCCTAAGGCACTTGACTGCTAACCAGAAGGCTGGCGGTTCAAACCCACCAGCCACTCCTCGGAAGGAAGGTTGGGCAATCCTACTTCCGTAGTGATACTGCCTCGGAAACCCAAGGAAGGGGTCGCTATGAGTCGGGGCCGACTTGACGGCATATAACAACAACAACAACAATTTATGGTATGAATAGATGTTATACCATAAAAAGATAAATTAGATGACTGGTACCTTCTAAAAGTGAAATTCTTATGTGCATCAAAAGATTTCTTCAAAAGAGTAAAAAGAGAACCTACAGATTGGGAAATATTTGGCAACGACATATCCAACAAAGGACTTTTCTCTAAAATTTATAGAAAACCAATACTTCAACATCAAAAAGACAAACAATTCAATTAAAAAATGAGCAAAGGACATGAGTAGGCACTTCACTAAAGATAGTCAAGTGGCCAACATGAAAAAATGCTCATTAGAGAGATACAAATAAAAACAACAGTGGGCTATCAACTCACCCCAGCAATTAAAGCAAAGTTCAGCAAGACAGAAAACAAGAAATGCTGGTGAAGGTGTGGAGAGACTGGAACTCATACACTGCTGATGGGATTCTAAAATGACACTACCACTGTGGGAAATGGTATGCTGCTTCCTTAAAAAGTTGGAAATAGAAATACCATTTGACCTGCAGTCCCACTACTAGATATGTATACCCATGTTCATCACAGCTTTATTCACAATAGCAAAGAGATAGAAGCAACCTTAGTGCCCATCAAGAGATGAATGGATAATCAAACTGTGGTACATACACACAATGAAATACTATGCAACATTAAAGAATAATGAAGAATTCACAAAACTCCTCATAACATGGATGAACTTGGAGGACATTGTGCTAAGTGAAATAAATCAATCACGGAAGCATAAATGTTGTATGAATTTACTATTATAAAAAGTCAAGGAAAGATTTACACACAGAAGGAAGCTTTCTTTGTTGGTTACCAGAGGTGAGAGGGGAAGAGAGGAGAGGGAAAATTGCTAGCTAGGTAAGAAACACATGTTGATTTGGATGAAGGGAAAGGCAATATACCAAAAGGAGGCGACCGACACAATAACACTAAGGGAAAAAATGACACTGAAAGGTGCACAAGAGGTACAGATAATGAAG